GTTATTTCGACTTTTCTTTCATCAACATAAATTACTTTGAATTTGAAATTTCTAAAGAAAAGGCAAAGAGTACGCTGGTTTTCCTTACGTATTGAACGCAAAAGGTAGTCAAACTCCAAGCATTAAGGCAAGGGTGTTTATGCGCTTTTGTAAGTGATGTAAAATTTATATATTTTCATTTGTGTTAAACTTGTTATTGTCACTACAAAAAAAACTAGGTCCAGCGACCAAAAACTTTGGTCGCTGACGATCATTATTTGGTCGCTACAGGTCTCTAACGACCACCGACTGTCGGTGAGAGTCTTCAGCGACCAATAAAGTGTGGTCGCTAGATATATACCTTCCAACAACCAGTTATTGGTCGCTGGTAGGCATAATCGTATTCGCTACAAGTTGTGTAGCGACCACTGGATTGGTCACTAATATAAGACATTTTGAAATTTCTAAAGAAAAGGCAAAGAGTACGCTGGTTTTCATTACGTATTGAACGCAAAAGGTAGTCAAACTCCAAGCATTAAGGCAAGGGTGTTTATGCGCTTTTGTAAGTGATGTAAGATTTATATATTTTCATTTGTGTTAAACTTGTTATTGTCACTACAAAAAAAACTAGGTCCAGCGACCAAAAAATTTGGTCGCTGACGATCATTATTTGGTCGCTACAGGTCTCTAACGACCACCGACCGTCGGTGAGAGTCTTCAGCGACCAATAAAGTGTGGTCGCTAGATATATACCTTCCAACAACCAGTTATTGGTCGCTGGTAGGCATAATCGTATTCGCTACAAGTTGTGTAGCGACCACTGGATTGGTCACTAATATAAGACATCCAGCGACCATGAAAGAGTGGTTGCTACATATTGGGTTCCGCAACCTATAGTTGGTTGCTAATATGTAACATTCAGCAATCAAGTGTACGTGGTCGCCATATACACATCTTGCAGCGACCTCCTTGTGGTTGGTACAAGAAGACATCCAACGACCAAGGCGACATGGTTGCTATATATGTGGGTACAACGACCAATTGTTGGTCGCGAATGCAGACATCCAACGACTAACGTAATTGTGATCGCAATATACATATCATTCTTGGTCGGTAAAGGATTTTGAAGTTGGCTAATTTACACTCATTTGCAACCAATCTTTGGTCGGTGAACATTAATCTTTTAATAGCCAGTATTATTTGTTCCTACTAATATTTTGTCTATTGTTTCAAATTTCAACAACCACAAAGACATCTGAAATTAGCTATTTCAAGAATTAAAAAAATTTAATTTAATTTAACAAGAAACATTTCGCTACAGAAATAAGATTGTATTGCACATGTGACAAATACTAATAGTCAATACATAACCCAAAATGTCTAATATTTTATTACAAAAATCATTTGTAACTTCAACCTAGATTCAGTTGTGAACAATAAAGGGTGTTGAGACATGAATGTTTAATTTGATTAGAGTGTTATCCATGCTGAGAGCTGGACATGGCCCTCTTACCAAGAGCCTTGCTCTCCAAAGCTCTATCAGAAGCCCGGTAAAGTTTATAGTTGGGGGCACATGAGGATAAATATTTGCAGAAGAGTAGAGTGAAACTATAAAGAGCGATATTATTCAATATTGCTAGCACAATCAGATGAATCTAATACCTTTTTTTGGAGACTTGATTTGAAGTACTACCCTTGGCATCTTTCTTAAAGGAATTGCTCTTTCTGATTCTTAAGCATAAGAGACCTAATCAATCTATTGGTTTGGTTTATCTTGGTACGCTTGTCCTCTGTTAAAACAAAATTAAAGTATCCATTTATTAAACTTTAAATGGAAGGTATTACAATCAGCTAAGTATTCAATCAATTCAACCACAGCAGAAGGATGGAGATGTAAGGAACGCGAATTTACACATCAATTTTACTGAGCACAGTGCAAGCTGTCTGAGGTTGGCTACATAGTGACAAAATTAGTTCCCCATGGAGGGATACACATGCTTTAAGAGATTGGCAAGAAGAGACACTCACCCCAAGTTTTGGAGTGCATGAGTTTATGATCAAAAGGCATGAATCCAATTTTACCCCAAGACTTCAACTATATTCACTAGTCTACAACTATATTAACCCGACATTACCATAACTTTAAACAAGTAAGACTCGTAAATAACATATCATAGTCCCCAAACACAATAAATCCTAAAACTGATTATTTCCAAGATAAACTCGACCAAGTTGGGTGCATAAATTCTAGAGGGTAATTAGAAAATTAACCAAGATATAATTAGAAAATAAACCTTCTTGGCTTCTTGGAAGTACATCCGGAGCCCGAACTAAATCACTCTTTCTATTGATTTTAGACAATTTGACTCTACATTATGCAAAAAGAAAGAGGAAGCAGAAGTCAGCTATTCCAAATCACAGACTAGGAAAAGCTCACTCCATTCCTTCTGCAACTGATTTCTCAAAATGCATATAAGGATTAACTAATGAATATGGTGACACTAGAACAATCAAAAAATGATTATAACTCAAGACTGAAGTTTCAGACCCAGTATAGTAATATGAAAGTGATAAGCATAGGCAGAGAATAGCAACTCAGTCAAATGGGATTGCACGAATGTCCGTGCTATTTTCCACGTGCAAACAAAGACCACTCCGACCCATCACAATAAATGCAACATTTACTAGCAGAAACTAAAATTAATTAGATTTTATTGAATATAAGACCTGGAGGTGAGGTGTCATGATCGCATCCCACCCTGCATAATTTTGTCAACGCATAATCAGAAAATATATGGAAAAAACTGAAGTACAAATGCATGTCTCAAGAAGAAAATTCTATCATCAGTTACATCCAGAGAACTTTATAGATGCCAATATGTGTAGAGCCTGAGAGGAAATAACATAGAATAAATAATAACTAAACATCTACATTCCTCAAAAATTGCTTCATAACTGTAAATAGCATCTTTTAATGTTAACAAAGGTGATAGTTGGAACAGAAAACCCAAAATATATACAGATCCAGTGCATAATGTTCTAGAAATCTGGGTCTTCTTTAATTACACAATCCACATTTCAGTCACCAATATTAGATAATAGGATTATTGTCATATAAGTAGGTGCATTTCTAAAAGAATACCCCTGACGATATCAAACCACTAGAGCCCAAATTTTTGTGAAGCCAGTCCGCGACTAAGTCCATGAGTGTTTTTATGAAGAGGACCTAAAAAATATTTGAAGAAAATTAATTTTAATGAAAAGCAAGAATTCAGGTCACAATAAAAAATTATAGTTGCATTAAATGCAAACCATTGGATGCGTCCTGGCCAGGGGTACATTGAGTTGTAGGATCTACACTGGATTAAGTTGTCGTGTTAACACCGAAATGAGCTGTTGAAGGTATCGAAACAGGAGAAACTGATGGATTAGACTGCTGCCCTTGTCCATGAGGAGATGGGCTTCGATTGCTCGAGCTTGGAGGAGTAGAAGATGCTATGGGTAGCACGTGCTTAAACATTCTTTTTGGCGGCATCTATATATGCATTAAGAAAACAACAATGAGAAGATGAAAAGCAAAAATATGGAGCATCAATCATTAGAACTGATAATGATATGCATAACTTATATATAAATACATTAAAAATTTTGTTAAAGAAAGTCTGATTGCTCCATTAAAAATTTGATTCTGATTGCAAAAATATGGAGCAGCAAATCATAAAATTTTTTGACTCAAGGAATGCACTTCTGACAGAGACTCTGATTGCTCCATTACTAAAATAATTTAACCTGAAAAATAATCTAAAAATCATTTATTTCAATAGATAGTTACTTTTAATTCTTTTGTAGAGAATGCTCTACATCTCTTTCGGATATTGACAAAGTAGATGCTTGAAGTGCCTACAAATAATTGTAAATTTCTGGTCTTATTGTGTGATAAGAGGTGGATAGTAAAAGTATGTTTGACAGCTTAAATCATAAGCTATGCTTTTGCCAAACATGCACAAAGTACGGTAACTAATAAAAAATAATAAAAATGACATCAAAATCCATAAAGCTTATTGGTATAGGAGAAACTTGTGTGTACAAACAATTGTGCAATTTATTATTATCATATAATAAAGTTAGCAAAATTTCATGAAATAATGTTCAAAGAATCTTTTTATTAGACACTTGTTTACGACAAAAATGAACTTAATGAGGATTAATCTGGACTGCAATGACTGTCAAACAGGTCAATCACCTCACATGGCTTAAAGGCTCAACTGCATTCAATATTCCCCTCACTAAACAATTTATACTAACATTTGAATCCTCAAAACAGAAAATAAGATATGAAAATTTAAAAATATGACCATTACACGAGTCTCTCTATTTTCAAGAGAAAATATAACTAAACTCAGTTATTCAGCAAAATCGAACTCAAGAATATTCTGGTGGCGCTGGTCAGTACTTCTATATTTGTCGGCTATGGGCAACTGGGCGTCAAACACTGTAGCAACCAAAGTTTTGGTCAGTTTTAGATGAAGAGGCAGAGGAACTTGAATGTTACTTCAGACGTTCTTGAAATTCAGGATAAAGTAGAAGAAGAGAGGAGAAAAATACCCGACAATAGTAGAGCCGGCGTATGTGATAGAGAGAAGGAGCTTAGAATTGGTGAAGGTTTGGTAACTTTGGGTGTGTCTATTTCTGCTTTTTCCCCAGATCGGCAACCCTTTGTTTTGCTTGTGTTTTCAGCTTTTTGCAATGCGTATGACAAAGGCCCAACTAATAGAGTTACACATGCATATATATATATATATATATATATATATATATATATATATATATATTATCTTATAACAATGTTGATAGCTCAATATTCACCAAGTGTTCATCATCCAAATATTAACGTACAATACTTTTTAATACATTACCTGCCTAGAGGGAAGCAACCTTCCAGTTCATCTCTCAATTTCCTAGACAGCAACATATATATAATGAAAGTTCTTTCTGCGTATGGCAGTGACAAACAGCATAGCAATAGATAACCCTCCTACAACCAGGCAATCCAATACATTACCTTGGTACCTCTATTTTCAAGAGACAAAATATACTTGTGAAGTTGCCAGTACAAATCCTGTCCCAACTTAATTCCTTATTTAAACCTAACCCAACACAACCGAATCAAGTTCGGTCGGGTGCAGTTGGTCGATTTAGTTCACTGAGTACAGAAAAATAAAAAAAGTAGAGGGAGAGAAAGACAATAAAGTGGTAAACATCATTTGCAAATGTACCTAGAGTTGCTTTGTCAACCATACTAAGCGATAGAAGACCAGGAGGAGATAAATTCCATCTGCCCAACATCATTATCGAGGTAGGCAACTTTGCTACACCTGAAACACAAAAATCCTATATTGAACATCTACTCTTAATTAATGACAAATCGAGACTTCGTCAGAATTATGAGTTCCAAGTACTTTCTACACCATTTCATCAATCTACAAATACAGTCTATGAAAACAAGTCAAGCTCCAATTTTGCAGATTATACAACCAGCTACCAGTTATTGGTCGCTGGAGGATTATATATGCAGCAACCACAAGTTTAGTCGCTAGACGAGTTAAAAAAATTAGAGGGCTCATCCCGCTAAGCTGTAAAGCGACCAATATCTGGTCGCTGAAGGGTTATATATATACAGCGACCACCACTTTGGGTGCTGAAAGAGAGAAAAAATTAGGCAGGGTTCATCCCGCCAAGAGGTATAGCGACCACATAAACGTTGGTCGCTGGATAGAAGTATTAGCGACCAGATATTGGTCGCTGGAGGATTATACATGCAGCGACCACTAGTTTGGTCGCTGGAAGAGTTAAAAAAAGTAGGCGGGGTTTATCCTGCCAAGAGGTATAGCAACCACGTAAATGTTGGTCGCTAAATAGAAGTATGAGGTACAGCGACAATGTAAGATCGAAATTTTTTGTAATCTGATTCTTCTACGAGGAGCGGCGGCAATGGGAGACGGGAGGCAGAGTGAATGGCCTTTTTTTTCCATCTGATAATGATTTATCTTTTTAGGGCTTCTATTTGAGAGAGACAGAGTGGGGGGCAACAATGCTCGAATTGAGAGGAAATGAAATACTTTGAGTATTTGAGGGTGAATTGGATAGAGGGAAATGAAATTTAGAGACAAGCAAAATTCTAGGAAATTGTTCAATAATTATTTCAAATTTTTTTTGCGACATACTTTTTTCGTTGGCAACTACATAATAGTTTTATAATTTTAGTTCCAATGTTTACAAACAGATTTTTCCGTTGGTAATTATATTTACCATCTTTAATATTTTTTCCAACGGAATCATTTGTTGGGAAATTCTGTCACTAAGTTATTTAATTGATTATTTATTATTTTTTAAATTTTTACGGATGGATTAGTAACGAAATTTTACCAATGAAAGTTCTCTGATGGCAAATCTGCATTAATTTAATATTTAGTTTTTAATAATAATAATAAAATATTACTCTGTTGCTAATTTCTTATAATTCTGTTGATAATAGCAAAGGAATTTCTCTGTCGATAAAATTCCATCTCTATTACCTCCTTTTCTTGTAATGTCACTTGCAACACAAGTGCCACAATTTTGTGTGACATGTCCAACATTACGCATTTTTGTGCGATAATGAACTCCATTTACATTGCATGCACTATAGGATTTTATTCCGTAATTGGGTCCAGACGCTAATCCGTACCATTCATCCCTTACTTCAGTATTGTGGCCTATATATCCTTGCTTCCCCGTTCGTCATAAGGTTTGGTCTAATTCTGATCGAAACTATTTTCATTCTTCCTTTCTCGAATATTTCTAGAATATTTGACAAGACCGGCCTAAGATAGTAGGGGTGCTTCTTGAGAAGCAATCGTCCATTCTTTTCCTTGTAACGAGCTTCCTTTTGGAGTTGACATGCTTTCTAAGCTCTTAACATTATCGATATAACTGATAAGGGCATGGCTTAAAGAAGTTTAGGCATTGCTCAAAAGCAAAAATTCAAAATTAAAAGGGAGAAAAAAGCAATGGGGTATGATGCAAACCCACATAGCTATTGTAGCTACGAAACCCACAATGAGATTGAATCGAACCCAATAAAGCCAATAAATTAAAGTTTGGAGTTTGACGCGAAAATAATCAAGCAACCAATACAATCAATTGATACGTCGACCTCTTCAACAATCTCATAGCCCCAAACAGTCCACAATCTCACAGATTTGTCCACCTTTGTTAAAAAACATGGCGATTGTGCGTCTCAACTGCTTCGCGAGACATCATTCATTGTCGCTCTTTGCGGTATCTGCTCCGTTCATCGCAGTTGCTACACTTTTGCCTGAGCGAACCGATGGATGATCGTCACTGGGAGTTCGGCAGTGAGCAATGGCATAGGGAGTGTGAGTTAATTGGAGAGAGTGAAGAGAGAAGATGGATTACAATGAATGATAGGGTTTGGAATTGGGGTTGATATATTTTATATTAAATATTATCAATATTAGTGGTTCAATCAATACCAGAATTGTGAATAAAAAATCTTCCCACCTAATTTTTGCATTGTGATCTTGAAATGTCGAAAACTCGTAATTTCCACTTTATGAAATGGCCTGGTAAATATAGCTTTATGTTTATTGAGCTGATTAAATTTGATATAACAATTGTTGGTGATAACGGTATGCCTTAAGGAGGATAATCTAGGCCTTGCTTGATAGGCCGAAAAAAAAAAGCGCAATGGGGTAGCCATATCTGTCACGTTGTAAGATCGATTTCTTTCATACAATTGGGACAGTGAGACGATATTAGAAAAGGCGACAGTGACTCAAGGAGCTAACGATCGGACGTGCTTACGAAAGCAAAAATCGAAACTGAAATCTTTCATCCTTTACACTGTATTGAAATGGATAACAATGGAAAAGGACGATTGTATTATTTCTTTTCTTTTTCTTTTTATTTTTCATTTTAACCAAGATGTTGAAAATGAAATTTATCTTGAAATTGTTTGACAATTAATTGATTTGGGCCAAAGTCCTAGTTGAAACTACTAAAAGAATAAATGACAAAATATGTTCTTGATCAAGTTGTTTTCAAATCTTTGTGGTTCAGTTTGGATTAGAAGCAACCCAAATTGACCGGGTCAGTTTTGAGCAAGTATTGGCCATGACAATTAATGGTAATCGTGTGGATCATCAAATTGATCATAAATTCTCAAGTGTAGGTCATCATACTTCGAATATGTTGGCCCTAAATATTGGCATTGCTTATACAACACCAATTGAGCGTGACAAGTGCAATATTAAAATTGATCAAGATGTGATTTATCACTTCTAGGATAGTAGCATATTATATCCTGATAGATAAATAGCTTAAAGGATTTAGCAAACCAGCCATATTTAGCAACATAATTAGCAACGACCACTTGGTTAGTCACTAAAGGTGTTAGAAATTTAGGCAGGGAACCATACCAGCGACCAAATCTTGGTCGCTGAAGGATTATATATATCCATATGCAGCGACAACTATGTTGGTCACTAAACATGTTAGATATTTAGGAGAGGATGCAGGGTACTTCTCGTGCTGTGCTAGGCAACGGTACCAATGACAATAACTTGGTCGCTGGAGGCCTAAATATTCAGCGACCATGATCTTGGTCGCTAAAGGAGAGGCTACATCCCGCCAAGCTGTATACCGACCACGCTAATCTTGGTTCCAGTGACCAGTTGCGGGTTGCTGAAAGCTTATATATTCAGCAACCACAACATTGGTCGGTAAAAGAGTTACCAAAATTATGCGCGATTCTTCTCGCCAAGCTAAATACCGACCAGGACAAAGTTGGTCGCTGGATAACAGTACCAGCAACCAAATTTTGGTTGTTGGAGGATTTATATTCAGCGATTACCATGTTGGTCACTGGATAATGGTACTAGCGACCAGAGATTGGTCGCTGGATGTTGACATATATAGTGACCACTTAGTTGGTCGCTGTACTAGTTACCAAATTGCGTGGGTTCTTCCCGCCAAGCTGTATAGTGGCCACGATGATTTTGGTCACTGGATAGTTGCCCTAGCGACAAGATATTGGTCGATGAATGCCTTTTCAAAAATTATTCTACTTTAACGTACCAACAATTTCACTAACCAACCTTTGGTTGGTGAACATGACTTATAGTGATCAGGTTTTGTTGGTCGCTGAAACATTGGTTGGTGGAGGCCATTTTTTTTGTAGTGGTTACTCATGATGGAATCATCGTTTGATGGTTTACATAAGATATGTTGGAATCACCGGTTGGTGGTTTACACAAGATATGAAGAGATGATTATGACAAATGACATGGGGTTATAAAAACCTACAAGTAAGCTGACTTGACTGATCACCAACTCGCTTGAAATTGACAGTGATACAATCGACTAAAGCTTGCATTTCTGAAAATATATATTTTTACTATTTACTTACGTGCTTCCTACTGATTATTATTTATAGTACTCATCCATACTAAAAAAATTTATAGGTTAAGATCGAGGTATGGCAGTGGTTGGCATAGTGGCAAGTGTTCGGCGATCTGAAACGCTTTCAATTTCTAGTAAAAATTTCCATTTATGTGAATATTTTATGAATACTTAGGTGATATTTTTTAGAAATAATTTTAATGTTTATTTTGTCTAGTTTTACGGGCAATGCATGTTAACTAGAATTTAGAAGTGCTGGATTGATTATGTGTGAAGTTTAATTCACACTGTGTTAAAAATTTCAGTTCCACCTCCAATTTGAAAATAGTATAACTTGGGCTACATGCATGTTTTAAAGTGTAATCAGTGGGGTTTGAAAGGTCTATGAGTCTTCTAATAGTGGCCTTTGGAATTTCTCAAAAATATTATGTACAAAAAAAGTTATGCCCGTTTTAGTAAAATGCGTTGTGTCGAATCCCATTTTTTCGTCTAGCATATTCGAGCAATATTTTGTGCATCAAACTTTATCTTCGAGACCCCAAAATTTTATATGTGGTATGTATATGAATGC